ATAAACACTAGCAATCATAGAAAGTTCAACCAAACCCAAGCTATAAACTTTAGAAACACATAATAACATATAAATCCATAACTTGTATATTAACTAAATTTAGAATCAAGTACAAAAGATAAAAAGAATTGGAAAGGAAAAGTAACTCTTGTCACATGAGCTCTTTCCTTGTCTTCTTCATCTCCTTCTTCATCTTTGCCTAGCTAATAAACAAGAAGGATGAACTACTACTCTATACTAAACTAATCTAACACTAAGAAAATGGAAGAGCTACATTTCTGCAGACTCCAAAATTCTCCTGTATGTCTCCCTTGAATCTTGCAAGTTTTTTACTATATAAAGGTAAAAGGTGGTCAAGAAATGAGGTTTACACCTCCCTTTTACAGCTGCAAAGTATTTGTCACATGTCTAGCATTACATATGACTTGTTGGAGGTGAAATCAACTTGTCCGCGTAAAGAGCAGCCTTTTCTAACCACAATCCGGCCAGAAATCCGTCCATAAATCTGGCCAAGTTCCGACCGGATTGCTACAGTGACCTTTTTTCTCAACTTCAACTGAACTTTCTTGATGATAAAAGCTGATTTAACTCTTGACCAAAACATAAAACTTGTAGCTCTTTGAGTTAGCTTTCCAATGCATCAAGAATCACCTCATTTAGATTTGTGTAGGCTGAGAAATGACTGAAATACCCTTGACTGCTCAATACCCTGTTTCAGCTTCAACTAATAGAAATTAGCTACTGTAATTCACCTTTTTGACCTGGAAAACCTTCAAACTGGATTTTGATGTTTTCACTAAAGTTGTAGATCTATCTCTTATCTTCCAATTGGTTCAAAAATCATCTCAATCTGATCACTGTATTTCAAGTTATAGCCAAAATACTAAAATGTGTCAAAACTGTCAAAGTGCACAAAATGCAAGTAAAAAGTGATAAAACCTCATTTAATCACTTAAGAACATTTTTCCCCAATTATAACTAAAATGATTCATTTTCTTCCAATAATATAACCAAAGTGACTAAAAATAACATAAAATGTCATTCAATTATTATGTAAATTAGTCACTTATCAAATTCCCCCACACTTGAATCATTGCTTGTTCTCAAGCAATTCACACATAATTAATTACAATGATTCACGAGGTGAAACAATACATGTACTTTTGTCGAATTTAATTCCTCATGACTTGAGAAACAATCATTATACAATTGTTCAAATTACACTAAATATTCGTAATATCAAGTAAAGGAAAGATAATTATACCCTAATTTTAACAAGTTAAACTTAATCTCTCACCCTAGTTCAATTTCACAAATAAGCAAATCACATAGTCGTTTTATATCTTTCTCCTCCTATAATTATTTTTTTCTCAAGAATTTTACAACTAAGAGGGACTTATTCACACTTGATTTTTTTAATAAATAGTGAAAATGTCTTTTTACGCGAAAATCGACACTTTTAGGTGAATATCTCCGGTTACTCAACATTTCACTTATTTAAATTGCTATACATACTCTTAATTCAAGTACCTTTTTACGCGAATGTCGACATTTGTAGATGACAATCCCCGATTACTTAGTACAAGAATCATTGGAGTAGAAGAAAAACTCGTATTCTCTCTTTTTTCTTTTTCTTCTTTTTCAAAAATAAAGGACAATAAATAGATATTCCCTTTTAGAAAATATATAAGAATAATCAAAGGAGGAGTATAACCTTTATTGACTATATCAATCACTTACTTGCAAAATTAAGTAAAGAGGAAAAATCTTATTAAACATGCAAAATTATAGGCATAATTTTTCTCACTTTACCGGATATACTTTCTAAAATGCAAAAATTCTAATTGCATAATAACCATTTTCAAGTTAAATGAGGAATAAACCTTCCAAAATACATATAATATTTCAACAAATGGAAGAATTAGACATTTGAAATTGGAACACTTTAGCCCTTTTTGAATGAAAATGCAAAAATTTGAAGAATTTTGGGCCTTAATGAAATATTGGATAAGATTTTAGAAAAATTTTGACAGAGTTTCCCCTTATAAATGGACGAAACTCCCTGCCAACAAACCCATTTTCAAGCAAATTATCCACATGGCAAAATTTTCAAGTACAATTCCAACATTTCTAATCATTTAAATCCACAAAATATCATCACATGGCATTAGATTGCAAGTTTAAATATTTCCCTCCCCCACACTCAAACTTCACATTGTCCTCAATGTGAGAAAAGGAGATTAAATACAGAGTAAAGAAAATACTGCTCATATGAACTTGTGCAATTTAAATCCATGGCCAAGTGATGAATTTTCAACCTTAAGAAGTCTGAAATCATTAAAACCACAAAAGAGATGAAGATCACTTGGATTAGTTCACACAAAAGAAATAAGAAAAATCATTAAAAAGTAAACATCACAAGCACTATGAAAATAAAAGAAAAGCTAGCGGCAATGTCAAGTGGTGACGAGCACTCCCTCAAGTAGTCGCTTGGTCAGGTGAAGAGGGTGGAGTCGGAGGAGCTTTAATGCCAAGTTTGGCCTCAATGCGACGAAGACGCTCGAAATTCCGTTTGTTCTCTTGTCTACTCTTTTTCACCTCGGTCTCGACACAAAACAACTTATCCATTATTTTCTTAAGAAATGACCGAGTGTCTTGAGGTGAAGATGGGCGACGAAAAGAGGAAGGATCGGTTGGTTGGACTGTGGTCTCCACACCTTGAGTTTCTTCAATACGTGCAATTTCAGCTTCTTCCTCTTGCCAAATGTCACCTTGAGCATCTCCTTGAGTTGAAGGACCACCTCCGTATTTGCTTTTCAAAAGAAATCTGCAAAAATCCAATATGAAAATGTCCTTCTTCTTGAGGCCTGTAGGGACAGCATTAGAGAAATCCACTCCAGCCTTTTGAAACACCAAGGTCAAGAAGCGAGCATAAGGGAAAGCGTGTTTGACGTCGTTACTGCGAACCACAGGCCACATGTGGTTGACGATAATGCTTCCCAATGGAATGGCTTAGATGTTGCCTAGACCATGCTCCATCTTATCTAAGAAATAGATATCACTTGTGCGTGCTTTATTGGTTCCACTTACCCTGAGAATAATGTTGGAAGCAAACAGGTAAATTAGAAGACGTTATGATTCTGGAAATGATGAAGTCAATACGGAATATTGCCCAATCTTCCGAGTAGCCTTGTACTCAACCTCCAAGCATACAAGTGCTTCTAGCATGTTCCAAGAGTCCAAATCACGGGGTTTGAAAGCTTTCTTCAAACCAACTTTATATCCCACATCCGAAACTTGAAGATAACTTTCCAAATCAGTTCTATGGAGTCGAACTCTTTTTCGTCGCACTTTACTCGTAATCACTTCTGTGTCGAAGTGAAAAACCTTCTTGCCTTCCATATTTGCGTAGAATTCACAGACAAGCTCCTCATAATAGATGTTTGGAATGTTAAAGAAGTTCTCCCATCCCAATTTAGCAAAGGAGGCCTTGAAATGGTAAACTTCCTCAACATCCGGAGTTATATCTTTCTCAACCAACACCTTTGCTCCCCTTCTCGCATTGTACCATGTTTCATTTTCGGCGGAGGTAAAGCGCAACTTGTCAAAAGGGACTTGCTCCTCTTGTTGAATTTCTTGTTGTCAAGTCTCTTCTTCGGTCGAGAGTTCGTCTTCAAATACAAGACGTCTACTTGCTTTTCTTTTCATGCGCTGTGGTCTAGACGTCGAAACTTCTCCTCTCATATTGGGACGGGGAGATTTTACCCTAACTTTCTTAGTACGAGCCATTGTACCTAAATTCAATTATTGAACATTAACTTCATTTAATAGGTACATTGCTAGATAAAGATAACAAACACTCATTTACCTTTATCTTTAAAGAGACAAACTTAACAACTTACTTACATAATAATTAGCAATTAACACCATAACTAAGTATCACAATTGATTATCAATCAACAAGTGCTCTTTTTATTTATTTATTTATTTTTTAATTGAAACATTTAAGCATATAAAACCCATTAGAGAAAACAATTAGACAAATGCACAATTTACTCCCAAATGACCTAAATAAGCATAATTAAGTGTTAATAACACCTTAACCATGAATTTTTTTTTAAAAAATCATTAATTCTCCTTTTCACCAAAATTTCTAGAATAAATATGCCAAAAATCAAAGGATAAGCCAATTAAAGCTAAATTTAGCATGTAAATATCCTAGAACAATCCATTAATCTCCTACATTTTTCTTTAACCCAATTAGGTCAAGAATTTAGCTAATAATTATCAAATCAAATTAATCCTCAAAATTAGCTAAAAATTGCTAAATTCACCAAATAATTACAAACTCATGAGTTAAACATCACCAATAATCATCAATAAGTTCAATAAGCACAATGTAAAGCAACAAACTTCACAAAATAAAAAAAATTTGAAATTACCCAAAAATTAGAAAAAGTGATAAATGGAAAAATTCAAATGACAACATTTGGTAAATATTTGTTACCTCAAACTTGTTTGTTGATGATTATGGATGCAAATGGTGAAGAAACTCCCAAAAATTTCACTCCAATTCGGCCTCAAATGAAGAGTTCAAACATATGAAACTCTTGTTCTTCTCAAGCTCAAATCCGAATTAAAAATTGTTTTTGAAGGAATTTAAGCTATGGAATCAACTCTTAAGAGAAAGGGGAGTGTTTTGGTGTATTTAGTTTAGAGATTTGAGAGTGAAAAGATAGATTTTAGGAGTAGTGTGTGTTTTAGGTGTGAGTGTGTGTGAAGGTTGAAGAAGAAAGGAAGATGAAAAGTGAGGAATCTACGGACGGATTCCTTTTTGTGCGTTGGTCTGGCCAGAATCCGCCTTTCACGTGGCGCTCCGAGCGTCTTTGTAATATTATAAAACGCTCGGGAAGGGCTATATAAGCCAACCCATTCTACCTAATACATGGGATAGTTTGTAGTGGGGTGAGTGACGTCATCAGGTTGGGGTGAGATTCAGGATGCCGAGAGCACCTTCTTCCTTCTTCATCAACGCGAAGAACATCTTCCTCACCTATCCCAGGTGTGTTCTTCCCAAACAACAAGCATTAGATGCAATTAGGAACATCCAGTTCTCTATTTCTCCCACTTACATACGAGTTGTTCAAGAAACCCACCAAGATGGATCTCCTCATCTACACTGTCTGATTCAATTCACAGGTAAATTTCGCACTCAATCTGCGAGGTTTTTCGATATCCAATCACCCAGTTCAAATTCAATGTTCCATCCAAATGTTCAAAGTGCGAGGAATTCATCCATAGTTAGGGATTACATATCAAAATACGGAGATTTTGTGGAATGGGGCGAGTTCCGTCTGGATGGCCGGAGTAGATTCTCATCCGACAAAACGGGGGAGGTATATGCCGCTGCGCTTGCCGAGGAAGATAAGGGAATGACCCTCAATATCATCAAGAAGGGCGATCCTTGATCGTTCATCATTCACTACGACAAATTGTCGAGCAATCTGGACAGAATATTCTAGAAGCCACCAGAACTATACAAGGCTCGCTTCCCACAGGCCCAACGCGTTCCTATATTCTTGATAAATTGGGTCACTCAAAATGTTATTAGGTCTGATAACAGACCACACAGGCCCATGTCCATAATAATTGAAGGCCCAAGTAGAACTGGTAAAACATGTTGGGTTAGGAGTCTCAATCCTCAGGCCCACAATTACAACGCATGCCATATTGATTTGGCCCATCACTGTGACAATGCGTGGTATAACGTCTTAGACGACGTAAACCCGCGGTTTCTGAAACACTGGAAAGAATTCCTGGGTGCACAACGAGATTGGTCATCGAATTGCAAATATGCCAAACCTAGAAAAATAAAAGGGGGAATTCCAACAATTGTGCTCTGGAATCCAGGTCTCAATTCTTCGTATCACGACTATTTAAGTGCACTAGACCGTGAGAATCTCCTCAACTGGACTAAACAGAATGCAGCATTTTACTTCCTCGAACAGCCCCTATTCGTACTCACAAACCAAGATCAGGCACCACCTGTCCAAGAAGAAGAAGAATTGAACAACAATAATTAAGTTCCCAACATGTTCATCATTTCTTGATCAGATGGATCGATCAAGTGTTAACTGGGCCTCGCAAAAGGCCCAATAAATAATAATCGAATGTATCCATCAAATGTTATCAATTTTTTTTTCTAATGTTCTCAATTTCTTGATCCAATGTGCCATTTAAATGTCACTGGGCCTTCCACCAGGCCCAATAAATAATATCCGAATATATTATTAGATATTTGATTCAATATGTCAATTAGAAGACAACTGAGCCAATTAGTTTCTCCTGGACCTCTCACCAGGCCCAATAAATAATATCCGAATATATGCATAAAATGTTCTCAATTACTTGATCCAATTGGCCATTCTAAATGTCACTGGGCCTCGCAACAGGCCCAGCTAAAAATAACACTAGGCCCAACCATAGTAAAATCAATTGAAGTATTTTCATTTTCATAATGCGTATTTATTACACGTGTCACTGCTGCATTAAATCCCTATATACGTATGAATACTACCATTAGACGTCGTATACTACGTTATATTTCTACATATATCCCTGTGTGTGTGGGGTCCACATCCTCCATCGAAGGGGTTCAAGAGTCCAGGGGTTCCGTTCATCCTCATCAGTCCACTTCTTCTACCGAAGAAATTCAATTGCTCCCGGGGAAGCTGGGATCATCACAGGCATCCTCTGATTCCGATAGGGTTCCCTTCAACTCCTCGACCGCCTTGAACAGCCGGTCCAATTCACGGATGAATCGAGGGCTCTCCATGTGAAGTGCAAAGTACATGTCGAGGAGCATCACGTGCTCCATGCCGCAGTCCCTCACGACCCTGAAGAATCCTGCCATGTCCTTAATGTTTGCCATTTCTTCTGCCCTTCAAAACGCACCGTATCGAGCAATATATTGGAACAGGGCGTGTCGAGCAAGGAATGCTCCGTATTTATCCTCATCTCGCTCTGCCACGTGTCGTTTTGAAGGGCAGAAGGAATGGCAAACATCAGGAACACGGCAGGATTCTTCAGGGTCGTGAGGGACTGCGGCATGGAGCACGTAGTGCTCCTCCGCGTGTACTTCGCACTTCGCATGGGGAGCCCTCGATTCATTCGCAAATTGGACCGGCTGTTCAAGGCAGTCGAGGAGTTGAAGGGAACCCTGTCGGATTCAGAGGATGCCCATGATGATCCCAGCTCCACCGGGAGCAATTGAGTTTCTTCGGTAGAAGAAGTGGACTGATGAGGATGAACGGAACCCCTGGACTCTTGAACCCCTTCGATGGAGGATGTGGACCCCACACATACAGGGATATATGTAGAAATATAACGTAGTATACGACGTATAATGGTAGTATTCATATGTATATAGGGATTTAATGCAGCAGTGCCACGTGTAATAAATACGCAGTATGGAAATGAAAATATTTCAATTGATTTCATCCTTAAACAAGGTGCGTACAAATTCGAAATCTACTTGCCTGCAGTTAATCCAGACACGTGGCAAGGACCTACACGCTAATTCTAGATTAGTCGGACTTATGACTCCGTAATTACATAATTGGATGGTTATGAGAGCCCTAACCCTATTAGTAATTCTAGTGGGATCCATGTCCTTCAAGGACCAGGGAGTCCTGATCAGGAGCCGAGCCCACATCTTGTCGAGACGCAGCCTCTTGCGGAGGTTGTAGTTTGGCCGAATTGACACCGACCAAGTGGTCTGACTGGCCTGGAATGTGGTGAAGTGGAGGGGATCGTTCTGGAACTCTCAGGAGTAATTTCCTTGCTGCATCAATGCTGAGAACGTGGTGTCCCTCATTGCATCTATTGCTGTGCAGGATGCAGCAACCACACGCGAACTTAATTTTTCTTGTTCGCCTCTTCTTGTTGGACAAGTGGTGCCTGATCTTGATATCTGTGGGCGAATAGGTGCTATTCGACGAAGGAGAATGCCGCATTCTACTAAATGGGGTTGAATCATCAGGATGAGATGGAATGCATTTAAATAGCAATTGGAATGAAGATTGCTGAATACGCTTCTGAGACTTACATATTTTCTTCATTGATGATCACTATGGTTGGGCCTAGTATTATTTTTTTATTGGGTCTGGTGCGAGACCCAATGACATTTTAAACGACTCAGTGGATCAAGAAGTTGAGAACATTTTCGGTAAAATTGAGTTGGGCCTGGTGCGAGGCCCACTAGAAACTAATTGGCCCAATTGTCCTCTAGTTGACCTATTGGGTCAAACATTTTATCCATATATTCGGATATTATTTATTGGGTCTGGTGGAAGGTCCAGTGACATTTTAATGGCCCACTGGATCAAGAAATTGAGAACATTTGGACCATATATTTGGATATTATTTATTGGGCCTAGTGCGATGCCCAATTAACAATTTATCGACCCATCTAATCAAGAAATTATGAATACGTTGGGCTTCAGAATAAGTGGCCCACACATTGATAACCCTAATTCTATTCGTTTATCTTCCCCAGCAAGCGTAGCGGCACACATTTCCCTTGATTTGTCAAGTGAGAACCTTCTCGGATCTTGAGGTCCGAATGATTTAGAATTGATAGGATTGTCCTATAGTGACCCACGATCTGATAGAATTGATTTTCTATGTGGGACAATATCGAATATGCTCGATGCTCCATGACAGAGAGAATGAAGAAGGTGAACTACCTTCGAAGTACAATTTTTGCATCGTATGGACAAATTAACTGGGAATCAAGAAGATCTTGGTATTTCTATTGAACATTATTAATAATCTTGATTTTGATGAAGATGAGATGTGTGGGAAGTAACGGCATTATATTTTCTGGTGATAAACACTTGAATTAGTCAAAAGGAAGACGATGATACACAGTGACCAGCTCTACCTAAATGACGTCACTGAACCCAATAGATGACGTCACTCTACCCATTAAAAAATATCTGTTGTATTGGGTATACCGGGTCGAGTGGGCCCCCCCTTAGTGGTTTCTCCCGAGTGTCTTATAATATTACAAAAACGCTCGAGGCGCCACGTGGACGGTGGATAGGGTGTCCACACGGCCTTCATCCGAAGGATGGACGGTCCGGATTTGATCTGGGATGGAGAGAGAAAGGGCAACCCAGGTACTGCGGCCCACGTTCGGGCCCGCGTAGCAGGCCATGCAACCCAGTTCTTGGGTTGCCCTTTCTCTCTCCTCCCCAGATCAAATCCGGACCATCCATCCTTTGGATAGAGGCCACGTGGATACCCTATCCACCGTCCACGTGGTGCCCCGAGCGTCTTTGTAATATTATAAGATGCTCGGAAGGGATCACTAAGGAGGGGCCCACTCCACCCGGTATACCCAATACAATAGATACTTTACAATGGGTAGAGTGACGTCATCTATTGGGTTCAGTGACGTCATTTAGGTAGAGCTGGTCACTGTGTATCATCGTCTTCCTTTCGACTAATTCAAGTGTTTATCACCAAAAGACACAAAGCCATTACTTCCCACACATCTCATCTTCATCAAAATCAAGATTATTAACAATATTCAATGGAAATACCAAGATCTTCCTGATTCCCAATTAATTTGTGCATACGATGCAAGAATTGTACTTCGAAGGTAGTTCACCTTCTTCATTCTCTCTGTCATGGAGCATCGAGCAGATTCGACATTGTCCTACATGGAAAATCAATTCTATCAGATCGTGGGTCACTATAGGACAATCCTATCAATTCTAAATCATTCGGACCTCAAGGTCCGAGAAGGTTCTTACTTGACAAATCAAGGGAAATGTGTGCTGCTACGCTTGCCGGGGAAGATAAACGAATAGAATTAAGGTTATCAATGTATGGGCCACTTATTCTGAGGCCCAACGTATTCATAATTTCTTGATCAGATGGGTCGATAAATTGTTAACTGGGTCTCGCACCAAACCCAATAAATAATATCCAAATGTATGGTCCAAATGTTCTCAATTTCTTGATCCAGTGGGCCAGTAAAATATCACTGGGCCTTCCACCAAACCCAATAAATAATATCCGAATATATGGATAAAATGTTTGACCCAATAGGTCAACTAGAGGACAACTGGGCCAATTAGTTTCTAGTGGGTCTCGCACCAGGCCCAACTCAATTTTATCGAAAATGTTCTCAACTTCTTGATCCACTGGGCCATTTAAAATGTCATTGGGTCTCGCACCAGACCCAATAAAAAAATAACACTAGGCCCAACCATAGTGATCATCAATGAAGAAAATATGTAAGTCTCAGAAGCGTATTCAGTAATCTTCATTCCAATTGCTATTTAAAAACATTCCATCTCATCCTGATGATTCAGCCCCATTTAGCAGAATGCGGCATTCTCCTTCGTCGAATAGCACATATTCGCCCCCAAATATCAAGATCAGGGACCACCCGTCC